ACCAGGGAAAAAAAGAGCCATTTTATTTTCATGAAAATGTTCGAAACAAAGTTTTAAAATGGTAATGGGGTGAGGAAGGGTATAGTATATGGATTCCTTTTTCGGTTACTTAAAATTAGTTAGAAAGATGTTGGGCTCTTTAGATCAAATCTTGGGTAAAATTTTTCAGATTCTGTTATTATATGAGATTTGTCTAGGAGTGAAATTCGGAGGAAAGGAATCGGAATTTCCTTTTTGGGAAAATTTCCAAAAAAATTGGGAAGTACAAAATCAATTCCATTTCCAAAATTTTCGAATAAAATTATTTTTTCTTTTTTATTCCCCCCTTCCCAAATTAATCACTTAGGTTTTTTGGGGGGGGGGGGGGAGGGGGATGTGCTACTAATTTAATAAAATAATAACATTTAATTGAGGGCTTCAATTTTTGTATCGGGCTTGAGTAAGTACGAAGTACTAGCCCTTCTATTTAGTCAGTAGAACTTTATTTACATTGGTAACCGAACGAGACCTGAACGCATTAATTGCAACATCAATAATCACGTTTTACCTAATTAACCATTACTAATCTATATGTTTTAATTTAATGATAAGGGCATAATAGGTAACGCAAAAAAGTTAAGCACAAAAATATTCAAATAAAATGTTTGTTTTTAAGTTTTAGTTTTGTTTCCTCGTTTGCAGTTGTGGTAGCAAACAAAGTGGCGAATATTTAAAAGGAATTGCACCAGACGGTCTTATGGGATTAGGTCCCGGCGAAATTTCCGTTCCAAGTTTGCTTTCAAAATCGGGACTTATTCCACACTCATTCTCGTTTTGCTACGACAAAAGTTACTCCGGTCGACTTTACTTTGGCGACGAGGGTCCCACATCTCAAAGCTCCACTTCTTTTTTACCATTAAAAGAAACTAGGTATTTCTGAGCCTAATCTAATTTCACATACTTATATATATATATATATATATATATATATATATATATATATATATATATATATATATATATATAAACAATTTTGGTTTTGATTTGTAGGGCTTACATTGTTGAAGTGGAAGGTTATTCTGTGGGGAGTTCTTCTCTAAAGGAAACGGGATACAAAGCGCAGGTTGATACCGGTTCATCGTTCACTTATCTTCCTACTGAGAGCTACGAACATGTTGCTTCTGAGGTCTTTAACTCTCTTTCGACCCCTAAATAGCTTTTAGCGCATCAATTTGGTCCAACTTTTTAATTCTCGTTTTTTGAAATATTTTGTTTTTTTCTATGTTCAGTTTCACAGGCAAGTTAATGCTACAAAGATAACGACGCAAAATTTCGAGAACTGTTACAAGGCTCGGTAAAGCTGCATTATTTTCTTGAACATTTTTCTTTATTTTTGTAATTGCTTTATCAGCTGATTGCGGCGTTTTTATTTTGTTACAGTTCGCTCAACGTAGAAAACATACCTAGCATGAAGCTCGTTTTCTCGACGAACCAAACCTTTGTAATTGAAAATCCCATGTTCCACATTGCAGATGATCAGGTGCGTATTCGTATTCTTGTTTCGTATTTCACATGCAATCGTTAAATGCTAATTTAATCTCCTTAGGCCTCGTTTGGTTGGGGAGATTATCCATGATTAACTGAATAATTGGACCTTGTTTGATGTTTGGTAAACCCAATAACTCCCCGGGTCAACCCAAACGAACCCTTAGAGTTTCTTTATTCATATCATTTTTTTCGATCGGAATTTAACACGATTTTTTTTATATATATACAGGGAGGTGTGTATTGCTTAGGCATACTACCTATAGATGGAGATATCGGCATCATTGGGCGTGAGTTCTCGTCTCTTGTGGATCTACGATTTTTCTTGCAATCCAAAATCGGGATGCTATATTATTATTTATTTATTTTTTATTTCAACAATAATTTTAATACCTAATATTCCGCAGAAAACTTTTTGATGGGTTACCGTTTGGTTTTCGATTGGGACAAAATGAAGCTGGGTTGGTCTACCTCCAATTGTAAGTCAAAATCTCGATTCTTGGTTGTTTTTTTTTTTTTTTGAGAAATTCGAATCCAGTTACAAATTGGGGAAGTAATGTAGGGGCAGGATTCGAACACTAAATCCGGATTCTTGCATACTTCATTTTTCTTTCTACATTTAAACCTCTATAAATTAATGCGGTTGGGACTGGCAAAATTCTATTAATTTAGCGAAATATTAAATTATCGAGTTAATAATTTAGTACATTTTTACCGAGTCGGGACCGTAATAAATTATTATTTAAACGAGGTTATTATTTTATCGAGTCTTATTTTATCGAGGTTCTAATGTATTTTTGGCATTTAGCGTTCGCCAAATATAACGACTGGTATTGTTGCAATAAATTGATCAAAATATTTGAATGTACCAGGTGAAGATATCGACAACGGTGGGAAGTTTCACATAACACCGTCTCCGAGCGACAGCGAATCATCACCGTACCCTTTGCCAACAAACCAGCAACACCAAAACCCTAACGGGCACTCCGTTGCGCCAGCTGTCGCTGTTAGAGCTCCTCCAGAACCCTCCGCAGCAGCTTCTCCTATACTCGGACCGTATCACTCTCGTTTTATTATAAGTTATTTCCCGCTATTAATCTGGATTGCTTATATAGTATCGTCTTAAGTGGGCTCCGAGAATCCTTATACATATACTTATGCATATATATATATATATGTAAATCCAGTTTCATTTCCGTAATCTTAATCATCGTTTCTATCTACCTTAGTCCATATCCCAGTTTCTTGATTCCATTGCATTATGAATCTGTAGACTTGACCATGGTTCAATAGGTGGTTAACGAGTTGGTTGACCGAGTCAATGGATTGTTGAGTTGGACTCTTGACCGGGTCCATGAGTAGATGGGCTGGTTAAGGGTCGAGTTTGACCCGACCCGTTTAACTGACTGTTCGAATAATGGCTTTTATGCGTCAATTTTTTTAGTCTTTTTAGGTTTTTAAATGGTCACGGTCTAATGATATAGTTACCAATCGACGATCACGATTAAGTGACCGTTAATTTAACGGCGTCGGTTTATTTATTTGGGTAAATTACACTTACACACCGGCGGTACGCTAAAGTAACTTTAAAATCCCTGTAGTATCGGTAATTACAATCATCCTCTTATAACATTGTTAGAAATCCTAACGGAATAATGCAATAGATAAATTATTCAGTTAGGGTTCTAATGGACTATTAGTTTCAGGCAATTGTCGAGACAACATAGAGTTAAAGGATGACATGACTCTCCTAATATTTCTTAAGTCATTATTTCATATAAGATTTATAAATTTTCATCTATGGTAGCAATGACGGCCCCACAGGAAATAAATATAGTGCACATTGGTCCGCAGGACATCAAATCTTGTCTCCGGTAATTGTTTCAGGGATGTGGCTGTAATTTCAAATAGCACAGGGACCATAAAGTTATTTTAATATACCTCATGGGTGTAAGTGTAATTTATCCTATTTTTTTTTTTCAGAATAAGAAAAAAGTTATGTTGATCTATATGGATGAGATGGTGGATGATTGGGACATGTATTTATTTTATTTTATTTTATTTTATTTTATTTTATTTTAGATAAGTGGTAAAAGTAGCATATAGGATTTGAATGAATAGTGTGATCCGAATCTTGATGGATCGAAGTGAAAGAAAAAAAAGGGTCAAAGTGATCCGATGCAAAGTGTTGGGACTTTTTTTTAGGTTGTGGCTGTGGATTTGCTTCTTTTTTTAATAAAGAAAATGGAATTTGATTCCTATACCTAATATTTTAAAGTATGGTACGCATAATGCATTGCATGCATGTATTGACTAATTATTTGCCTCTTCATATCCAAAAATGTCAATAAGTATCTATTTGACATAAGTTGGTCATATAAAACACACAATTTCTCATGCTTGTGTAGTAGAGGTTAAATTGAAATGGAATTTTTGATTTCTGCATATTCTAATTCCAATAACCTTTTTTTTTGCAATGAAGGAACACACAATCAACTATATAGGCGCACTGAGTAAGTCTACACTCTTATATAGTAGCTTGCAAAACATACGAGAGATGTAATTGCCAAAAAGTAATAATTTGAATCGAAATCGACGATAATTTTGGATTTCTTCTAATTTCAGATCCACTACAGTCCTTAAATTGGAAAAAGAAAAATTTAATCATACTAGAGTGCGCCAAGAAGTACTTGGTAATATGATTATTGGAGTAACAATACCTAATCGTGAGGATGCTCTATAATCGTTTCGATTGTTCGTTTCCTGGTATCTATGAGCGATCGGTATAAACATCAACAACTAAGAATTGGATTGGTTTCTCCTCAGCAAATAGGCGATTGGGCCACTAAAAGACTGCCAGCTAATGGAGTGATAAAATCCTACTTGTTACAAAACTACTAAATCGGGAAAAGATGGATTATTTTGTGAAAGAATTTTCTGGTCTATAAAAATTTGAATTTATGCTTGTGGAAACTATCAAGTAATCGGAATAAAAAAGAAGACCCGAAATTTTGTGAACAATGCGGAGTCGATTTTGCTGATTCTCGGATATAAAGATATCAAATGGGCTACATCAAACTCGCATGCCCAGTAACCCATGTGTGGTATTTAAACGTCTTCCGAGTTATTTTGTGAACTTTTTAGATTAATTAACTTCTTAAATAATTTAGAAGTCTTCATATACTGGAAATAAATTATGTTCGAGCAAATAAATATGTCATGGTTACACGAGTCTATCCATCGCATATATGCTTTATATAAGGCCATAGTGGCATAACATCGAAGTGAAGTGGGGACCTATCAGATCGAACGAAACAATACACAAACAAACAAGTAAATCCCTTATGAATACAATATAATGTACTCGTTTATTTTAATTTTTCTTAAATTATCTATTTTTAATTCTTAATTAAGAAGATTAAGGGACTTGTTATTCGAAGTGACTCTAGAATTTCACATATTACTCATGTCGTAATTGAATAACGAATCAAAAGAATCTATATATAATAATAATAAATAAAAGAAGGCGGAATCAAAAAAGAAAAGAAAAAAAAAAAGAAAGAAAAATACAAGAGGAAGAAGAAAAACTGAGGCTATGTTTGTTACCGTTTTCAAATTCTTTCCACACTTTCCCCAAAATGAAAATTATCTTTCTACACTATTTTCAAAAACTTTCCCCAAAACAAATTCAAATATTTCTCTCTCTAACAAACATGATTTGACCGCTACAGTGAAAATTGTCTTCACTAAAATACAAAATCAAATCACTTTATCTTTTAAATTCTTCTTCCAAAATACTTTTTTCCAACACCTTTCAGACATGATTTGACTTGCTACAGTACAAATTGTCTCCTCCCAAAACACAAACAAACTTTATTTAATTTTCAAATTCTTCCCCGAAAGCATCTTTCCCCAAAATAAAATGGAAATGGAAGCCCAAAAGCTTACCAAACACAGCCTGAACAATTCGTATACCTGACAATTACGAGTCAACGTGTCACTCTCTTCACTATCAGATTATATGTTGATTGCCACGTGGCGTCAATCCAAAGACAACGTGGCCGGATAAAGATTGAATTCGGTATCTACTACCAAAGAACAATTTACTTTTATGATGGTGAAGTAAAACAAATATATATTCCATGGAAGTTGAAAACTTAGAGGGTAAGGAATTTTATTCATGCCATGAATATTATATTTTTTTTGGAAAAAGTTGAATATCCATATATTTTATTTTACGAAACATATTATGCAATATTTTTTTAAGAACAAAATATTTTGAAATTTTATATTCAATCTTAGTTTAAGAGTAAACTGCAAAAACTACCCCTGTGTAATCTCGAAATAGCAAAAACCCCCCTGTGATAAATAAACTAGCAAAAACCTCCCCTGTAAAATTATTTAAATAGCAAAAACCCCCCTATGGAACTATTTGAGGGTTGACTTGATATAAAAAGACACAAATACCCCAGGAGTCTTGCAATTAATAAATTCTTATATTTTATAAATATTTTAATTATTTTATTTAAAAAATAATCAATTTAGTTGTTTACTATTTTTTTTTAATTTCTAAACAAACAAATTAAAAAGAATAAATATACATATAATATGTATATATATAAATACATTTTGAGGGACAATTTTGTCATTTCAAGTCTAAAAAATCAGCTAGGAGGGATTCTGCCTTTGACTAAATTTCAAAGGGGGGTTTTTGCTAGTTTATTTATCACCGGGGGGTTTTTGCTATTTCGAGATTACACAGGGGTAGTTTTTGCAGTTTACTCCTTAGTTTAACTATACAGAATATTGCATTTTTTTTTATTACACATTACAAACAACATAAAAAAAAATTGAATATTGATCCTGTAAGGGACAGTTTAGAAGTTGGAGCGAGGGAGCTTGTATCAGTTGGTCAAAGTTTGAATTTCATTGCGGAAGATCTCTATGTTGAGATAGCCAGAGATGTAGGGTTGAAAATCGAATGAAACGAATCGGAATTGACTTTTTTTTTTTAAATCTATTTTTTTAAGAAGTACACAACTAATTCCAATTGCAATTCCAAACCTTTCGAAATCTGGAAACTCATTTCAATTCCAAAAGTTACGAAAATTTCGGAAATAACACAACTTTTAACATTTTTAAATAGTTTCAAAAACTTTCATAAATTAGAAAAAGTTAATAAGAACATCCTCTTTCATAAAATAATAAGACTAAAGCTACTAATATGATAAATTTCAATATTTTAAAACTAATTATAGTGATTTCAAATTGCACTAGGTACGTATTTTTAAATAATACAAATTATAAACTCTCAAAATGATAAAGTTCGAAACTATGGCTTTTTTTTGCCGTGAGAAATAACAAACGAAAAACTTAGTCGAAATGATTATTATATTATTGATGTATTTTTCAGCAAATAAATCGGAATTTTTGGAATTAATTTCGGATATTACATCGGATCGGAAATTGAAAATCTCAAATGTTCTTTTATATAATTCCAATTCAATTCTAATGCAAAAAAAGAAAAACAAAAAAAAAAAAAAAAAAAAAACCGTTCCAACTTTCATGATCCCTACACACAATAGTTAGTCTAGTGCAGTCAGTAGTTTACGTATCTTGTATGATTTGCACGCTATTATACGAGAGTGCAAATTTACATGTCCATCTTTATAGTTGGTTGCGTGGTCTTTCACTACAAAAATAAAAATAAAATATATACATACTAGTTCAATTCTTCTTTTCTTTCTGGCAGATCAAATTAAAAGAGTACAAATCAAATAAGAGAACAAAAAGAATAAAGATGCAAAATAACTTTATTCAAAGAATAACTTTTTCAATTTTCGTGCGACCTAAGTATAACGACATTCTTTCTATAATTACACCACTAAACTGCATACAAAAGGGTTTAAGTCAAATCCTTGACTTGGAGAATTAACAAAAATATATTTATGGGTTAATATGCTAAGAGTCCCTTAAATGAAACCTAATTTGAACTAAATGACAACCTTAAATTCAATCTTTTAATTAAATCCCTATTTTGAAATAATATATGACCCACATCCTTAATTTTTATTTTATCCCTAGTTTGCCCTTATACCCTAAATATAATATCCCACGTTTATTCAACTAATCATTTTTGTTTGTTTTCGCCTCTCGCCTCTTCTTCTCCCTCTCCCTCTCGCCTCTTCTTCTTCCGGCAAGGCGTTGTGGTGGTCGGCGGTGTTGGGGGCTGCGGTGGTCGGCGGTGTTGGGGTCTTCGGTGGTCGGCGATGTTGGAGGGTTGTGGTCGTCGGCGGTGTTGGGGGCTGTAGTGGTCGGCAGTGTTGCGGGCTGCGGTGGTCGGCGATGTTGGGGGGCTGTGGTGGTCGGTGGTGTTGGGGGCTGCAGTGGTCGGCAGTGGGGAGGGCTGTGGTGGCCGGTGGTGTTGGAGGCTGCGGTGGCCGGCGGTGTCGGGGGGCTGTGGTGGTCGGCGGTGTTGGTTTTTAGGGTTTGACGGCTGATGTGTTTTCGAAGGGTTGGTGAGATTGGGTGTTTGTTGGCTGCTAGGGTTTGGTAGTATACCGTAGTAGACTATAGTACACTGTAGTATACTATAGTTTACATGGTATACTACAATAGTCTACATGATATACTACAGTATTGACAACAAATAAATTAAAAAAAAAATTAAAATATATGTAGCTTGAATTAACAAAAATGAAAATTAAATTTTTTTTTTCGTAATTTTCAATATCATGTAAGATTTGTTTTTTAATAATAGTGTAAAAATTATAGTACATCATAGTATACCATAGTGCGCCATAGTATTTTTTAAATTTGCTGAATTATTTAACAATTTTGTTTCCCGTAATTTCCAATAAAATATAAAAAATAAGGAAAAAAAACTGTTTATAATAATGTAGAAAATGTTAGAGTGAAAATTGAAAAAATAAAGATGAGTGAAAGGGCATTTTTGGAATAAATTTCATAAAGGATGTGAAGCAAATGTTTAGTTGAGCTTGTCATTTAGTTCTAATTAGGTTTATCAATAGGGACCTATATCTTAAGACCCCTATATTTATTTATACTAAATATATTTATTTAAAAAAAAAAAAAAAAAAAAGAGAAAGGCTTCACCCACTTAAGAAATTCTAGCTTCGCCACTTTATATCACAATAAAACGTCTAGGCTTAAAGAACCTCAAAAGTGGGCCAAATATTAAATTTTGGATATATGAGGGACTTAATAATAATAATAATAATAATACAAAAGTTTCTATGATATTCCTTTATTATTTAACATTTGAATTGCATCTCATGTGCTATATAAAGGCCATATTCACAACTGTTATTTCCATCAACATAAAATTCACTACAACACTCTTCTCTTCTATCTTCTTTATTCATATTGCTTAATCACAAGCTCCATAAACTAAATCAATAAGCTACGGTACGCTCTATAAGTGTAGTGTTTTTCGAACCCTCAAAGATTATTAAAACGCACGAGTCGTAAAAGAAGAGTCGTCGAAGAAATGGGAGTGGACGGGACATTGGATTACTTGGCGGATTTGATAAGCAGCACGAAGAAGAAGAAGAAGAGACAGCTCAACACAGTTTCTCTCAAAGTCAGAATGGATTGTGAAGGCTGTGGCCAAAGAATCAAGAATGTCCTCTCTAACATGAAAGGTACACACACACACACACACACAATATAATATTTGGAGAGGCTTAATCATACCTGAAACCCGAAAAACCGAAAACCCAAAAACCCGAAAACCCTATTGGGTTAAAGACAAAAGTTCGATTAATTTTATGATGGTATTATAATTTGGAAAGAATAACATTACTAACTGCACGATCAGATTCATGAAGGTTTTCGAATTTAAGCATATATATATATATATATATGTATATATATATATATATATATATATATATATATATATATATATATATATATATATATATATATATATATATATATATATATATATATATATATATATATATATATATATTACGGGATATTATAGTATTTATATATACAACACATGGATACAGGATACTAAATGCAACATATGCTTATTTCTTGTAACAATTTAAAAAAAAGGTTAAATCACAATCACCTCCTTGAGGTAAAGTTTAATTACGAAAAGACCCCTTATGTTTGCGAAATTACATCCATACCCGGAAATTTGTAAATTTCGTACATACAGCCTCTACAAAAAAACGTCAATGTAAGAAATCTACAAATTGGAAGGCGGTGTATGTAATTATGTAAATATGAGGGGTTCTTTTAAATAGATCTTACCTCGGGAGTGTTTTTGTAATTTACCGTTAAAAAAATATCATTTTAATGTTATGCGGTTGCATGCACAATTAGGCAATATTAATTACAAAAATTGTAAATAATATATAGTAATTGATGAATTATGTGTACACACGAAACACGCAGGAGCACGATCGGTGGACGTGGACTGGAAAAACCAGAAGGCGACGGTGTACGGATTTGTGGACGCTAAAAAGGTACTAAAAGTTGCGCAGGCGACCGGAAAAAAAGTGGAGCCGTGGCCGTATGTCCCTTACGACTTAATGGCCCATCCTTACGCGGCCGGTGTTTACGACAAGAAGGCCCCACCTAATCTTGTTAGAGGCACCGACGAGCCAGGTGTCGCCACCCTTAACCCGATCGAGCAACAGTATACGCTTATGTTTAGCGACGACAACCCGAATGCATGCTCTGTCATGTAGATTTTCTAATATTTACAATAAATTATGTATTATATATATATTTGGGCTCAAAAAATAATAATTATATGTATGATGGTTGTCCTTTCATTGCTGCGGCCTTTAAATTAATTATTATTATATATAAAAAAAAGAATTTATAAGGGTGTGAAATTGTGATTATTTCTGGTTTTTTAGTGAATTTTCTGTGAGAGTTTTGATGGAAAATTTATTGAATTTAGACTTAGATATGTATAAGAATATGGGTGGAATTTAGACGGAACTGATCGGAAATGACTTACACGGAAATTTTCCAAATTAGACAGAACTGATCGGAAATGACTTACACGGAAATTTTCCAATTTTTTTCGAAAGTTAAAAAATGGGTTCAGATTCTTGTTAAAAAATAACCGGAATTCAAAGATCCATTCCGATTTCAAAATGCTTCAAAAACGGACTGGAAATCGGAATTTTGGGTAATTTTATATACAATTCCGATTTCGTTCAAAAAAAAAAAAAAGAAAATCAGAAAAACCAGAATTCGGAATGAAAAAGCTATTCCAATTTCGGAAATTTCATTACGACTTCCACCCCTATATAAGAATTAATTGTTCAATAAATAATTAAACCATAATATGAAATTGGACTTGGATTTTTTGTTATTATTAGTAAATGAATAGATAAGGATACATATGTCAATTTTAAGTTAGATCTTTGCACACAATTTTGGTTAGCTCTGAACTTTTTGGTTAGATCTTGCACACAATTTTAAGTTTAAGTCCTTCAAATTATATGTGTATCCATTAAGTATAGATATGTCATGTGTATAGACACTCATTTGTCGGGTGAAAGTCGGATGGATCGGATTGGAATTAGCCTTTTCGAAAAATTTCCAAAAAGTTTCAAAAGTACAAAATCAATTCCAATTCCAATTCCAAAATTTTCAGAATCTAAAAATTCATTCCAATTCCATAAGGTCCGAAAATTTCGGAATTTCGGAAAAAAATCGGAAATCACATAAGTTTAAAAATTTCAAAACTTAGCAAAATTTTTCTAAAATGTTCATAATTTTCCAGAAATAAGAACATCCAAGTCGATAAAAGTAAAACTAATAACTACTAAATTTCACTTCAAAAAATAAACACAACATAATATCTTATAAAACTTCTAACAATTCATAATGTCAAAATCCTAAAAAAAAAATTATAGATTTATTTTTCGGAAAAATAAATATTATATAATATTTGTTATTTATAGGTGTATATTCAGAAAAAAATCGGAAATTTTCGGAAATCAAATCGGATCGGAAATCGGAAATTCCAAATTTATTTTATATAATTCCAATTCCAATCCAAAAAATTCGGAATCTCAGAAGTCGGAATGAAAAAAGTTGTTCCAAAATCGGAACTTTTCGGATCGGAACCGGCGGAAATTGGAATTTCCGTTCCAACTTGCACCCCTACTCATTTGTATTGTACATCTACACACTCGTAATATACACGTATAAGCAGTGATACAAAAGCTGTAATTTAGACAAAAACACGGTACCACATTCATTTCCTTCGAACCAGTACGTAAGATCACATTGGCAGATCCATTGCTAGTTATTACAAGATTCGGTATCAGACAAGTTCACTGTAATAAAAAGTTCCGTAAACTGCAGTACTTCAAAAAAAAAAAAAAAAAATTAGTAAAGTGTGTTGTCAAAAACCGAGGGGTCGTGCTCAACAAGCTCACGGCCATTCATTTGAACAAGTCCTGCTGCTATATCCTCTGCACGCATTCCTCGCCAATTCAGCTTTTTTGGCAGAGGCTTCGGCATCCTAGTATAAACAAGTAAATTAATTTAAGATTGAATATATACAAACAATCTTATTTCTTACCATCCATTAATTGTTTCTCATTCGATTACGTAAAAAGTAGAAGAACAGAATCTGTATTATTCTCGTTCTGAACATCAATAGAGCGTAAATTTACATAATACAATATAATGAAAATTAGAAGATCAAAGAGTAATAGTTGAAAAATAATTAATAGTACAGTAGAACCTCGATAAATTAATAACCTCGCTTGAATAATAATTTCTTCTGGTCCCGACTCGGTAAAAACCTACCAAATTATAAGTCCGATAATTTAATATTTCGCTACATTAACAAAATTTTGCTAGCCCGACGGCATTAATTTATAGAGGTTTAACTGTATACCACAAATACCCCCGGTATTAATTTATTCAAGCATGCATAAAGTTGAAGGGCATTTTGTCGAGAAATATTGGTGAAAACTAATGAAACGATTTCTACGGTAGAGTTCGCAAACCAATGCAATTGCAGGAATGTATGCAATACCGAGATCCAGATTTTGAATTTCGATAAATTATCGTCCCTTCATTCTATACAGTTGCACGATTTTTAAACAAAACCTAATTGTAACAGAATAATGCAGGTGGTTGTTCCGAAAGAACTAGTTACAACTTCCGATGGTCACTTAAACAAAAACGAAGGGGCTAATAAATCAAACTCATACCAAAACCCTAATAAATTACTATAGAAGAAGCGCTCGTGTTTATTTTACTTCCTAGTTTGTGATATGGAATAGCTCAAGAGATTCAACGACAACGAGAAACTACGATTTAAACGAACTTCAAGAGTTTAAATATTAGGAAAAAAAAAAGAAATCAATCATGTATTCATCAAGCCCCTAATTGCAAATACAATCACTCTTATTGGACTAAATTCAAAATTAAAACACCCAGCTAAAATTTCCCAACCTATCTGAACAATTTTCAAAAAAATACCCATTCATTCACAAAGTCCAAGCATAAATCTTTAATTTTGCAGGAATTTATTTATTTATTTATTATTTTTTTTTTGTGTGTGAAATTGCATCCTTCAGAAATCATGCGCCAAAATTGAAAAAAGAAAACAAAGCAAACATGTATTATTAAGATGGAACAAAGCAGATATACGATTAAAATACGAAAAAAATAATAAATTGCGGACCTTTCGGAGTTTCCAGGCGATAAATTGAGCTTCTGTAATAGAATTAGGGTTGGGATTTGGAACGGAATTAGGTTTTGGAACAAGGGTTTCTGCTTGGAGATGATTTTTTTCAGATTCTGCACCCATTTTTATTATTATTTCCGGTCAGTAATCAGAGGGAGGCCGGTGTTTCTTGCTGGTCTGGTGGTAATGTATAGGTGGTTGTAAATTGTAATCGACAAAATAAAATAGGGTAAATTCCACTTTCCCCCTAGCACTTTGGCTCGATAACACTTTATCCCCTCCTACTCTCGTTGCATCGATGTCCCCCTTGTACCCATGTACATGAAAAATTGTCTCAATGTGGACCTCAATGTTAGTTTTCAAACCTTTGACCTTAACACTATTTGATCTAAATCTAAAATCACAAAAAAGTCACCCTTCTCAGTTTAAAAAATTATTAATATATATATATATATATATATATATATATATATATATATATATATATATATATATATATATATGGTTGTCGTCGTGGACTATGGTGTCTCGCTGTCTTGAGTTTATTATTATTATTATTATTATTATTATTATTATTTTATTTTTTGCTTTTTAATAATTATTTAAACTGGGAGGGGTTGTACTTTTGTAATTTCAGAGTTTAGACCGAACGGTGTTAAGGCCAAAATGTCTGAGAACTAACAACACGGCCAAATCGATGCAATCGAGAGTAGAAGGAGGTAAAGTGATACCGAGCCAAAGTACAAGACGGGAAAGTGGAATTTACCCAATAAAATATGAAGAATATCATAAATGTCGAGTTTTTTTTTCTTTTTTGCAAGGGGATCCCCTATTATATGTCTAATTGTAAAAAAATGCCCCCGTTTTAAAAATATTAGCATTTGTCCCCCTGTGTTCTTTAGTCAAAGCCAACAAAATTACTATGAGTAGATCGTGTAGTTCACTTCCGGCTTGTGCGAGTTTTTTTTTTTCGATTTTGCTTGTCAAATGACATAAACACCCTCTTATAAATAACCATAAACTCAATGTAGTTTGATGATAAATAATCTAAACTTCTAGGACCAAATTGAAATTCAAAAACTTAAATGAAAATACTCTAAATGGAGACGAGCAGCGAAGGAAACGAGTAAAGGACCTCAACATCGGAGAACGTGAGAAATGGAGAGCTCGTGGGTGGAAGAGGAAGATACGAAGGGGCTATGTGCAATTAAATCCAGAAATGTCTATAATGCCACATCGACCCGGTAGTCTAATAAAAAATTAACACCATGTTTCATCTCCATAGTATTTTTTGTACACTAACATCAATTTTTGCATCATATCATAAAAAAATGATGTGTCATTGTACTAGACGACGATGTCTACTGTAGGGGCATCTTTGGTTGGATGGTTTGTGTTAAGTGTATATTTTTACACTTTATCGTATCTTTTTATTTGAGCTTTTTGTGTGAATTTACGATAATTGGTGCTTAAAAAGTTGATTTATTGTATTCTAGGTACAAATTGAAGAATTGGAAAAGTTTGGGGTCAAAACTGCAATTTTGGAGAAAATATGGGCCAAAAGTGAAATAAACAAAAATGCTGAAAATTGGCTTAAAATGCCCGCGCGGCCGTGCCAAATTTAGCCTATTTTTGGCACGGCCGTGCCAAATGCAGAAATTGGGCAGAAGGTTTCGGCGATTCTCGCGCGGCCGTGCGAGAATTGCACTGATTTTCGCGCGGCCGTGCCAAATCACGCTGGAGACAATTTTGGACTTTTAAACACACAAGGAAACCTAGAATCATCTACCAAGTTGGGACATCTATTTAAGCCCAAACCAAACACGAATCAAAAGGGACTTTTGACACAACCTTGGAGCGAGAGGAGCGAGAGAACGAAGAATCGAAGACGGAGAATTGACAACTCTTCATCATAATTCTTCTTTCACCTATCTTTTCTTAATCTATGACTTTTATTACTTTTATTATGTTTTTCGTTATGCATAGCTAAGTTTTTAATCTAGGATTTTGTTGGAACCCTATGTGGGGATGGTGAACCCGTTTTCTTGAGATTGTGCAATTATGATTTTATGATTATTTCTTCTACTTGATATGATTGTTAGTGCATGAACTTGATCAATTTATGTGCTTTATCTGTGATTATTGCGATTGACTCGACAGAGCTATTTTGATAATTAGACGGTAAGTAGAAGAACCTTCGAGTAGTTTTCACCGGATGAGTGTGTCAATTGCATGTGGTGTCGTAGACATACAGATATCACCTTAGGTAGCCATTTACGAGACTTGTTAGTTAATGCTTTATTCATAATTTGTTTGCATAGACATATAGTGAACCGTTTATGAATAATAGACTCATAATACACGCGACAGCGGGTTATGAGTAAATTAGTGTCTCGGGTTAATAATCATGAATCAGATATTGCATAATTGAGGGGTTTTGGGTGAGCAATTCTTGCATAGGGGGAAGATAAAATCATATGTCCGTTTTTATTGATATTTTCTCGTGTTTAATTGCTTTCATAATTAGTTTAATTGTTTAATTGATTTTATTTGACAACTTTGCGTAGGCTGGATAAAAATCATAATTGTTAGAATTTGGTACTTAGGATTAGATAATTTGAGTATTCCCTGTGGGATCGACATCCGACTCTCACGAGTCTACTTTTACTACTTGTTTGCGATACGTGCACTTGCGTGTTGGTATTTAGCACCCAACAAGTTTTTGGCGCCGTTGCCGGGGAATACGGCTAAATTATCTATTTATCCTAATATTAAATTTGAGCAATTTTTCTTACTTCAGCCGTTTTATTTATTTTATTTAATTATTTTCTTTGCTTATTTTATTTTTATTATTTTTGTTTAGGTCTTTTTTATGCGAATGGAAGAAGAGAATAATCGTAGGGGAGATGACCAAGGGCGCCTACCGAATGCGGCAGGAAATATCGTCAACGAGCAAGAGCAACTTCTGCTAATTAATCCACCACCTCATCAACGAGCATTGCATGAGTACACCGTTCCAACACTCAATGGGTTTCAATCGAGCATCCAACAGCCCCCCATTGAAGCCAACAATTTCGAAATTCGAGCGGGACTCCTCACCATGCTCCAAAACAATGGGTTGTTCAGCGGATTAGCTCATGAAGATCCGCATCTCCACTTGGTCAATTTTCTCGAAACGTGTGATTCGCACAAGATGAACGGAGTATCTCCTGAAGCACTGCAACTCTGCCTGTTCAAGCACTCTTTACAAGGTGCAGCCCGAGAATGGTTACAAACTCGTGCACCGCACTCCATCTCATCTTGGCCCCAACTAGCACAACTCTTCATGAACACATACAACTCCCCAACAAAAACTGAGAGAATCCGGAGAGAAATACAAAATTTCATACAAGATGCCGGTGAAGCGTTATTCGAGACGTGGGAGCGGTTCAAACAATTAATTCGGAGATGCCCCAATCATGGTCTTCAAGAGTGGCGGCAACTTCAAATATTTTATGACGGGTTGCAAGATAATTCGAGAACGGTGCTCGATTCAGCAGCTGGCGGTATGTTCATGACCTTGACCTATGACGAAGCATACGAACTTTTGGAGCGAATCGCTAGGAATAAATACATGCGGGCATCGGACCGGTCAAATAGCGGAGCCATAAAGACGGGAGGAATTTTGGAGTTAGACGGGGTCACCGCAATCACTGCCCAATTAGAGAAGCTATCAAAGCAAGTAGCAGCATTGCAAACTCAGCAAGTCCATGCAGTCCAAGTTCCCAACCAGTGCGTAGAAGAAACGGAGTCTCTAAATTATGTGCATGACACTAACCGATTTGAGGCCCTCTTCGCCGTAGAGATCGTAGATCTGGCGCTTCTGAGGGTCGCTGAGTACATCGTAGGCTTCGGAAATCTGCTTGAATTTGGCATCGGCCTCCTGCTTGTTGGCGTTTTTGTCGGGATGCCAAATCATGGCGAGGCGGCGGTAGGCTTTCTTCAAGTCTTCGTCGCTGGCGTTGCGGTTCACTTTCAGAATGTTGTAGTAATCAATCCCCATATCTGGGTTCCGATTCCGATTGTTGAAATTGGGGCGTTTTTTTTTTTTTTTTTTAATTCATGTTACGGGAAGTGATTGATTGCAGATGTAAGACGAGGAGGGCGGTGGTGGTGGGCGGGGCTGCAGTGGTTGAAATTGAGAGTAGTAGAGAAATTGGGTTTGAACAAGGAAGATGGTGACGAGGTGTGAGATTGGGAAGGATGAAGAAGGTGGGGTTATTTTTTTAGTTTGTTCATATGAGTTTTTACCTGGAAAAAAACTAGGGCACGATGCAAGAAAGGGGAAGATGAAGATTGTAGTATTCATACCTATTAATTTCGTAATTGATGTATTTTCGAAGGATATTTTCGACATTACACATGGGTTACAAAAGGGGATTCAATATGTGATAACTAGTCAAGCCAACTTTGGCTTGACAAACAATAATTCGAATGGAGTATTAAATGGGTGGGCCCAACAATCAAGGATGGTTAACTCAAGCAAATCAAATGTTGTACAAAACAGTACAACCCATCCCATCCCTTGTAACACCCCCAACCAAAGAGGCCCTAGGGGATCTCGATGTGCTGATATAATATGGATAAATGTTCGTTTTGTACGATTTTTACTTATCAAACCTTCGACTTTTGGTCTTCGTTCGTCCGAGTTTTCGGCTTTATTTGTATATATTATGCTCTTCTTGTTTTATTTCATTTTTAGGTAAATGAATGCTATTTTTGCCGATTAGCAATTTTAAAGTGAAACCGATATTTGAGCTATGAATGGCCAAGAAGTGGTCCATATCGCGATTTGGGGTTGAAATCCAGAGAGGCCATGAAGAGGCCCATATCGCTATCCACTCTCCCGTATCGTGATTTGGGGGTCGAAAGCAAAGAATTTGAGTGTAGACCCAAATCGCGATCCACACTTCCAGTATCATGATCTGGGGGTCAGAAACAAAGAGTTTGAGTGAAGACCTTGATCGCCATCCATAATTCTCGTATCGCAATATGGGGGTAAAAAACAAAGACTTCAAGTGAAAACTCAAATCGCGACCCACATTTCCCATATCGCGATATGGGGGTAAAAAACAGAGACGTCAGCCGCATATCTAGATCGAGATCTACACTTTTCGTATCGCGATATGGCAAGGCGGCGCACAGTTCCCCGAGGTAGCGAGATCA